TTTTTTCATTTTTTTTAGTTTTATTATTTTTTAAAATTTTGTAAATTAGCCAAAATTCTTTTGAAATTATTTCATTTTTTTTGCAATATTGCGAAATTATTTTATTTCAAAATAATTTTGCATCAATCGTAGTTATTTTAAAAGATTTTCAGTATGCAAAATCTTTCGCAATATGTCACATATTTATTTTGCTAATGATTGCAAGACTTTTAATATATTATATATAGCATTAAGCAAACTTGTATTATAAATTTACTTTTTATTGCAAGTTTGTACATTATAGCCTTTTTGTAACAAATACTACATTGTCTTGATTTATCTTTATATTGCTTTTAACTAGTTTCAGCTTGTTATATAAAAAAATACATATGTATATATGTAATTTTTTATATATATATAATATATATTAGAATCAAAAAAGCCAGAAAAGGAAACTGCAGACATGCACATATATATGAATTAAACAAAAGAATATCTAAATACATACTGGTACCTGCTTTATTAACTTCAAACTTTGTTAAATTTTCATAAATTTTATTAGCTACAGATTTTCTTTTCTTTTTTTAATCTTTAATATTTGTAATATTATTGAAAGCTTTTTTTTCTTCAATTTTCAGCCTTTTGGATTAATACTAATCAGATTACTAATAATATATGCAAATTTACTAAGATTATCAGCTTGTTCTATAATTCATTCTTTATTTATCTTAATCTCATTTTCTATTTTACTAACAAATCTTGAATGTATTTCATAAAGCTCTTTTACTTTACCTGTTGAAATAGCTAAATTAAGTACCTTTACCATTATTCTGAATCCTTTTCTTATTGTTGTTTAAACATAAATTTATGGTGAATTTCTTGTGTAAAACATGTTGATTATAAATGCTTTCTAGGTATGAAAATTCAATATATTTATTATGTTCTAATGTATCATAACTCTTATTTAAAACTGTTGTAATTGTAGGCTCACTTGCAAATGTTGAATTTACTGTTAAATTAGTATATCAATGTTAAGAAACAAGACTAATATGAAATTTCACACTTGCAAAAACAAGCATAATTGAAAAAAAGTAACAACATACAAGACTATAGTTAATTAGTATTAAATATATACAAAGATAAGCAGTGTTATCATATAAAACAATAAAGTTTTTTGATTTTTTGTCGATAAAATAAATACATCAAATCTTATGAATTCTGGTTAGTCCAATTTTCACAATTAAATCTTTAAGTTCAATTGTATTTGAATCAAAAATGCTTTTTATAAATATGCTGTTTGGTAATTTAGTACTGATAGTCTATAAAAGAAACAATTGATTATTTATATTTTAATTATCAACATTTAAATACTTAATATTAACCTGCTATATAGCTTCCTCATTCAAACTAATTATATTATACTAATAATGTGTATTGTGATTTATTTTATTTCATTAAAGTTTTAGAATTGCAAAGGTTAAAAAATGTTAACATATTTTATCAACTTTTTTAAAATATCAATCATAGTATTCTTCTTCTTAGCTCATAAGAAATCTACTAATAGCATTATTTAAATTTACAAACCAACCTTCTTTTACTAACAGCCTCTTAATAGTATGATCAAGTTCTAAGAGAGATGATGTTTCATTTACATTACTCTTAATTATGCTATTATAGGCTTTAATATGTTGTGTGTTCTGCACTTCTGCATTAAAAACTTAATGCATAAAACACAGTATCCAAGCTTTTCTATATGGATATAACTAATGCTGTAAGTAATCAGCAGCATCAGTATATTCTTGAATGAATTTATCTTATGTCTCATTAAAAATTGTCTCAACATAGCTGTTACATATATAACAAAAAGCTGCAAAAAATTTCTGCCAATATTCATCATAATATTTACTAAGAAAATATTTTTCTAAGTTTTTACAAATATGAAATAGGCAGAAATGATGTTTTGTTAATGGCCAGGTGCTTTTTGCTACAGCTATTATTGCAGAATTGGCATCAATATAAAGTAGAAATGGTACTAATCTACTTGTTGCATTTTTAAGACTTTCAAACAACTATGAAAATCTATTCTTAGTTTCATTAGATAATAATGCAGTAGTTGCAAGATAAGATCAATTATGGTTGTCAATCAAAATAACAATATACAAGATCATTGAATATTTGTTTGTTTTTGCAGTTGTGTCAATTAATACTACATCAAAGAAATAAGCTCATAATTGTTGTTGGCTTGGCCTCATCCAACAGAGACATATTAGATAATTGTTTTTGCTCTTAAACTATGCATCTATATAGAGCATTGAATTATTTTCTTTTTGCTTCATAAGCTCAATATACATTGAACTAGTATTATTAGTTATTTTTTTCTCATATTTGATTGCCTGAACTATATTATAAATATTACAAAGATGAATGTATTTTGTTGAGTTTCTATACTATAGAACTTCAATAATAGCATTGACATGTACTCCAAAAGCTGTGAGAAGCCTTACTTCATTACAAATTTCTGAGAAAAGTTTGTGATAATAAGAAGCAACCATGTTGATGTTTTTAACAAGTTCATGATTGTGTTAACCATCAACCTTTGTAATATATATCAAATTATCTTTCTTTCTTCAATATGTGTTTACATAGAATTTACAATTTCCTGTATAATGCCCTTTGCTACAACCTTTGATTATATGAGTTTTCTTTTATAAAATATGCATTTGGCCTTTTATACACATATAGACACATCATTGAAAAAGCCTATCTTCTTTATTTATATTATTGTATGTAATTATAAATGTGAAACTGTATTTCAAATCATGATTATCAAGTTGTCTTAAACAAAAAAAAAAAATTTAACAATTATATAACTTATGATTATTCTTTTAATTTTATAATTCATAGTTACTCATCAACTTTTTTCCAGTTACTAAAAACTATTTCTGGTGTGATTAGATATAGTGGTCCTAAATTCTCAATATTTTCATCATCACTGTTTTCTTCAACTTCTGATATCTCATCTAGGCAGAGTAATTCTTTTATATTAGCTGTTTGTGATTTTTTATCATAAGTTACTAACTAGTTAAACATATCTTCTAGGATATCCAAAAAAGGTGATTTATCAACAACATTTATTAAATCTTTATGATGCTGTGATTCTTCTACATTAGTTATTCATTAAGTTTTACATATATCTGAATTACTAAAATTATCTTGTGATTCATAGGTATTAGTACTGCTAGCACAAATATTCTTAGTATCAAATAATAAAGAAAATAAGAAAAAAGAAGGAAGTTCTGTATTATTAATATTAGGTATGTTGTTTATTATAAATTATTCTACTATTTTTCTATTCTAGATAAAGAGAAAATAAAGTGCAAAAAAATGGTTGACTAACTCAAAATTTGGTATTTATAAGATTATATCTGATTACATTATACTTATATATTTGCTATAATAATGAGATTGTTGCAATATAAAATATAATTATATATTGTTTATACTATGATTATGTAATAATCACATATGTAAATAAGTGATGTTTAGCACTACTGATTTGATATAACATTTTCATTTTAATTATATAAAAGAATCAAAAAGTTGTAGAAAATAGAGTAACAAAAAAAAATTCAAGGTTTCTTATTAAGATTTATTAAAAAAAAAACCAATGCTCAAAATAGATTAAGAAATAATAACTAGTTTACAGAAAAATAGCAGAAGCAAAGTATTTGAATTTGAAGCTCAGTTTGAAGATGTAATATGCTATAATTTAGATATAGAGTTAATCAAAAAACAGCAATTGAGTAAAAAGCTAAAGAAACTTCTTATTTTCAAAAATCAGAAAAATTAATTAAATTTAAAAAAGAACTTATTTTTTATACAAATAGTTTATTCAAAAAGTTAACAATAAGAAATACTTTAAATATTAATTTTATAAGAGCTAACTAAGTACAAATAAATACAGAAAAAAATAAAGTAATAGATAAAGATGCTATAGATGCTCAAAATTGATCTTTATTAACAAAATCAAAATTATTATCTATTTGACTAGTAATTTTAATACAGTCTATCCTTATTTATATCAACCTATTTGGATTGGTTTTAAATTATATTGATAGTGATATTAATGAGAAATTATATTAAACTTGATATATTTAAGAGAATTTTGATATATAAAAATTTATAAAAGTTTGATTTGTGACTTAGGTTGATATTAATAAAAATTGACTATAGTTCTAAAAAAAAGAAATGTTAAAATCTATACAAATAGCATAGCAGTAATATCAGATCTTAACAAAAGAAAAAACTAAAAAGAAGCAGACAATAAATTAAAGAAAAAAATTATAATTTGAAAAGAAGTATAATAAAGTTATTTAAATTAAAAAAAATAGAATTAGAATTAATTAAAATAAAAAATATAATAACAATAAATGAAATACTAGAATAGATAAATTAGTAAAAGAGAATAATAGTATAGATAATATAAATAGAATTATAGACATATTATTACCAAGTTCAAATATATCACTTTGTTGAAAAAAACATTTATCAAAAGACTGATAAGACATTTTATTAAAGACATTTCAGACTTTAAAATTATTTTAAAATAAAGATTTATATCAACTGTTCAAAAATTAGAGACAAATAAAAATAAAAAAGAGCTTAATTGGTCAATACTGTGAAGAAAAGTAAAAAGCCAAAATGGAATTAGATGTATAAGTATAAAAAAAAATAAAGAAATTGCAACTTTAATTAAATATATTAATAAAAATCTACTAGCACTGAAGATCTTAATAAAAAGATATTCAGATATATACAAAAAACCAATTGCATTCTATGCAATAAAAACAAGAAAAAAGATCAAAAATACTTAGTTTCATATAAAGATCATAAAAGAGATTAGATTATTACTAAAAATTCAACTATTAATTTGGTTTGAACAATACTTTTAGAAAAAACCTATAAGAAGACAAGCAAATTGAAGCTAAAAAAAATTTTATAAAAAGATTTAATAGAAAAAAAAATAAAATATAAATCCAAGAATATTAAAGATTTAATATAAAAAAAAGACTAAAACAATATTACAAAACCTTATTCAAACTTTTAAAAAAATAAAAGAATTTCTTACTATATAAATAAATGTAATATGAAATAATTTTTTGAAAACATATAGAAAAAATATTATGAAAAAATAATCAATTAAGAAAAAGCAAATAGAATTAGCTTGACAGATAAAAAAACAAAAAAAACATTAAGAAATGTTATAATTAGCAAACCAATACATGAGATAAAAGAAGAAGATAAATTAAATGATCAAAACTAAACTATAAAAGGGAAAAAAAACAAGGATAAAAGAAAAATACAAAGTTTATAATTAGATTTGATTATTGGTTTTATAAAAAAGAAAATTATATTATTCTTTTATAATCTTGATAACTAGCTTGATATAACCTTCTGGTCAAATTAATTTCTAACTAGTGCAACAAACTGCTTCTAAGCATTTATAAAAGCAATTGAGAAATGTTGAACCAGAATTTAAGCCAACTATATACAAAACATATATACAAGAATCTTAATAAAGATAATCACCAAAGAGTTAAAAAAAAAAGCATAATAATTTAAAATCACATTATTTAATTGAAATTTTCACATAATTTTAAATTTATTTTGCATTCATAACCTTTTTAAAATCACATAATTTACTTAATCATATTATATAATTCTGAACATCTTAGATCTGCCTAACTTTAAATTAAGTATATTAACACATAATAGGTTTTAGTAAGTGCATCACAGAATTTACAAACAGTGCTTAGAGATAGTGCAATTATATAATATAATATGAAATCCTATCTTCTTCAGAGAGTTTACAAACATGTATTGATCACATAATATTTAGCATTATAAATATATACTGATCATGTAATATGAATTTATTACATAACTATTTTTTATGAAATAGCAAACTCAAATAAAAGTGCAATTATCAAAGATATCATTTTAATTAATTATTAATCAATTCAAGCTGTATATAATAAAACAGCAATTTAAAATAACTTATTATAAGATGACTTAGTCCAGTTTTGGTTCTAAAGATCAGTCTATAAACTGATCTATAGCATGGTCTATTGGCTGGTTTTTAAAATAGACTATGTGACTTTTAATGTTTATTATATATAAAAAAACATTGTTAAATATAAAATTCCAAAGAAACTTGTTACAAATTTTATACTGATATTGGTTACAACATCATCATTTGGCATAAAATTTGATATTTTTATTTTTATATTTAAAAATTATCTAAAATTTATATTGTTCATTTCAGATTTTTGACTTACAGTTATCATTGTAAATCCTGAATAAAGATATTAAAATTATCTTGTCAAAAAAGATCTAACAGGTTTTGGATCATCTTATCATCAGATAATAAGTTATTTACAATTATTATATCAATATGCCTTATTGTATGCAGCTTGGATTGATTGATATAGATAATTAAAGTAAAGTTTTTGATAATTTATTATGAAAAATAGATTTTTGTTTAAGTTTGCTACTTTATAAAATAATTATATAATAATTAATATCATATAATTAGTATATATCCATAATGCTAAATATTACATGATCAGTATGTGTTCATAGACTCTCCGTATCTTTCCAACTGCTCCAGTATCATCATCAAAATTTTCACCTCCTATGTGATGATCGACCAATAAAAAATTATTAAGTAAGTTGATTTTTAAAACTTTGAGCAAAGGTTTCTCAACAGCTATCTAACTGATTTTGATTTTTTTTTTTTTGAATTCTACATATTTGTAGAACCTGAATAAAAAAAAATTTCATTAAAATTGGTTAAATAGTTATTGAGAAACCTTTGCTCAAAGTTTTAAAAAAATTAAAGAATAACAATTTGTTTATAGATGAAGATAGATTTGTTTTAACTTTGAGCAAAGGTTTCTTAACAACTACCTAACAAATTTCAATAAAAATTTTTTATTCAAACTCTACATATTTATAGAATTCAAATAAAAAAAATTCAGTAAAATTGGTTAAATAGTTGTTAAGAAACCTTTATTAAAGTTTAAAAAAAAATTAAAGAATAACTATTTAGAATTAATTTGTTTTAAGTGAATGTTTCTTAATAGGTTCTTGACAACTACTGAACCAATTTTTTTGATTCTTTAGATATTTAACTTATTATTAGCATATTTTTACATTAAATTTATATTAGTACAGATTTAACTAAGATGATTAAAAGAAAAAATATAATAATTGGAAATATTAAAAAGTTTTTAGTATAGCAATTTAGTTTGTAGAAAAATTTAACAAATAAAGTTAATAAAAAATTAAGAAGACTGCCAGATGTGCTGCTTTATTTTTATTAATCTGTATACAAATAAAATTACACAAAAAACAGCTTTATATTTCTAAATATATTGATATATAATAGTAATTAAAAAACACAATTTTAAGAATATTCAAGCTATTAAGATTAAATAATAAAAAGATGTATGTTATAATTTAATTAAATTATTTTACTAAAATTTTGTAAGTTATAAAAAATATTTATCATAAAGTATTTATATCAATAAAATAATATAGTATTGCTAAACCTAAAACTCATTAAAAGTAAGAAACAGTATATAAATTATTATCAATTATAAATAGAGTTAAATAAAATAATATTTATCTTATCTTAAAATTATCTTAATTATAAAACAAAGTATTATTTATATGATCTTTGAATGTTCAAGACATCATTTTTTTTTTATATAAAATAATTTCAAATGTTATTTGTTCTACTAGTTTGAATTTTTTTTTTACATTTTTAATTCATTGTAAATTTTTTTTGCCCTGTTGGTCTTTGAGAATACTGAGTGTATTTTTTGTTACATTGATCAGATGTTCATATAATTCATTACAAGTCTCTATATCTTCATTTTTAGCAATTTCAAATATAGCAATAGCAGTAGTATGAGTAGAGTTTTTAATATTAATATCAAAATTAATATTATTTTCTAATAATGAAGTGCTAATTAAGGAATATTGCTGATGTCAACAAACTTGATTAAAAAATTGAGTATCTACAATTCCTTTTTGTTGCACAAGATGCTTACAAATAAAAAAGTAACTTGTTGCAAAATAAGAGCATCTGCATATCTAATTTGAAAGACTTGTTAAATATGTATTATCATTATAAATTGTAGATGATTTTAATTTTTTC